GTTTAACGAGGTTACACAATCCCAAAACACTTCTGTAACTGTTTGTTTCTGGAGGGGGTGGTGATACCTCTGCTTTGGAGTACTCCATCTCTGCCAGTGCCTCCAGCACCGGGGCAGAGCCGCCGTGGGCAGAGGCTAAGAAACACTAAGAAAAAATGTTTTCCTCCGAAAACAGGTGATTTTCTGCCCCAGGCTGTTGTGGAGGTCAGAGCTGTGGGTGGTTGCAGCAGGGATGGAATGTGTTCCCTCCCTAAAGAACTGCAGTTCCCCTTCGTGTCTGCTCCTCGCTGCCCCATTGTCTCAAAGGAGGTCCTCTCTCAAGGGTGTGGAAAGGTGCACAGCAGCTGGCTTTTGTGTCCCTTGGGTTGTTTCTTCTCATTATATACAGAAACCCCTTAAATTGTGAAAGAAACCTTGACGTGGAGCAGCATTCACAGGCTGAGTCTTCCTGCAGCGGTCTCTGCTCGTCTCGGTTGTGGCTTGTGGTGTTTTCTGTTCCCATTGCTTTTGGATGGTCTGATCATGATGTGTCTTTCTCTGAACTTGGTGGTGAGACTCTTGGTTGACTATGTTTCCTTCTGTTCTCGTTGCGGATTTGCAGACTGGCTGAGACTGGAGGTGGCATGGAGTGGAACTCTTGGAGCTGGTGTGGGGTGGGACCTCTAGAAGGTGGCCTGGGGAGGGGCCCTGGGAGGGGCCTCTGGAGGTGGCCTCGGTTGGGATCTCTGGAGATGGCCTGGAGTGGAAGTCCTGGAGGTGGCACGGGGTGACACCTTCAGAGATTGCCTGGGCTGAGACCTCTGTAAGTGGACAGAGGTTGGGACCCCTGGAGCTGGTGTGGGGTGGAACCCCTGGGGGTGGCCTAGAGTAGAACTCCTAGAGCTGGTGTGGGGTGGGACCTCTGGAGATGGTTTGGGGTTGGACCTCTAGAAGATTGCCTTGGGTGGCAGCTCTGGAGGTGGCCTGGGGTGGGATCCCAAGAAGATGACCTGGGGTGGGACCTCCAGAGATGTCGTGGGGTGGGACCTCTGGAGGTAGTCAGGATGGGACCCCTGGAGTTGGTCTGGTCCAACCCCTGCCCAGGCAGGGTTACCCAGAGCTGGCTGCCCAGGAGTATCTCCAGGGATGGGATCAGCAGGGTCTTCAACCTTCAAAGTGTTGCTTTTCTATGGTTTGCAGATAGGTCCCAATTTTTCTGCAGTGGTTCCTGTGTGCCTGGTGCTTTGGACATCTGGGAGTCCTGGGGTAACTTTATATATTTACATACATTAGCATACACATAATGTGCATGCTCAGTGCAGTGACCTTTGTACGTGAGGTCTGTGGGGAGTCTCTCCAATGAGAAAAAATGAGAATTATATGCCTTGAAGGTTGTTCCTGTGGTAGATGTATGAGTGTGGGCTCTAAGAGCTCCTGAACTCTACTGTCCTGAGGGTCACAGAGATGCTGGGGGGGCTGGAGCCCCTCTGCTGGGAGGGGGGGCTGAGAGAGTTGGGGGGGTTCAGCCTGGAGAAGAAAAGGGTCCAGGAGACCTTGGAGCCCCTTCCAGTCCCTCAAGGGGGGTGCTCCAGGAAAGCTGGGGAGGGACTCTTGATGAGGGAGGGGAGCCCTAGGAGGAGGGGTAACGGTTTTGAGGTGAAAAAGGGGAGATTTAGATGAGATCTAGAGGGGAAATTCTTCCCCCTGAGGGTGGTGAGAGCCTGGCCCAGGTTGCCCCAAGAAGCTGTGGCTGCCCCATCCCTGGAGGGGTTCAAGGCCAGGTTGGAGGGGGCTTGGAGCAACCTGCTCTGGTGGGAGGTGTCCCCAGATGGAACTGGGTGGTCTTTAAGGTCCCTTCCCACCCAAACCATTCCATGATTGTATGAAAACCTTCTGTTAAGGTTCCCCAGGGCTCTGGTGCAGCTCCAGCTCCTGCGGCCTCTCAGGCAGCCCCGGGCATGAAGAGCCCACCATGAGAGGGAACAGCCCTGTCCCGCATCCTCCTCCCGCTCCTTTATGGAGACGTTCTCACCGCAGCAGCCGGCCCCGGCCCCTCCAGCGAGTCCTTGGGGGATGGTTTTGGCGATGGTGTGCTGGAGGAAAGCTGCAGGAGATCACTTTTCCTTTCCCCGAGCTAAATATACAGAGCAGCAGCTGATCCTCCCCGGCCCCGGTGGGAGCTGGCACCAGCCCCCGGTGACATTGCCACGTTCCCTCTCGGTCACCACTCCACCAGCCGCCTGCGGCCGGGCACGCCGGCATGAGACCCTGCCCGAGCCACCCGAATTTTCCCATTTTCCACATTTTTTGGCAAGACAGGAAGATCGGAGGAAGCTTCCGTGAGTTTCTGTGTCAACACGAATTCTAGCGGGGATTCCTTGGATGATTCCCACACCACGCTCACTGGTGGAACCTCAACTCCTCCAACACCTTCAACCAACCGAGAGAGCATCCATGGAAGATTTTTTGTGTGTGTGTGTGTGTGTGTGTCCTGTCTGACATTAAAATCTGATCTCCTCTTCTGGAGATGGCTTTTTTCCCCTGTGATTCTGTCGCAGGCTTCAGAGGCCTGTCACAGGAAGGCCACGGGGTAATCTCAGCATCGAGCACTGGAGGATGGGGGCAGGCACTTAATTGTGAAATTATCTTTTAATTTTGCCACATATATCAGGTTCTGGAATGTGAGAGATCCTCCTCCTCCTGATTTCCACGTACGTTGCTGCCTCACCTCTCAGGAGTCCCTCCACGAACAGCGTTGTCTGAATTCCTGTCAGTCTGTCTCACGCTCTTAGTTTGGTTTTATTTTTCTGATGCAATTTTATTCACTTTTCTTTGGTGTTTTCTGTTTCTGGCCCGTTTTCTCCTGAGGTGGGAGGGGGGTGCGAACACACCAGAGCACGTTATTATGGCAGATGCTTTCCCTGAGTGAATTGTGATGTATCTGCAGACCATGCTGATTATATATATATATATAAAATATATTTTTGTGTGTGTGTTAGTGGCTCAGCCTACAGTGAAAATGCCTCCCCTCCTGCAGAAGGCATTTGTTTCAGGTCTGATAGCCTGTGCTATTCCAGAGCTGTCAGATGAGGGGAAGATCAATTTCAGAAACACTCCCCCATCCTTTGATGGATGTTCTTGGGGTTGTGGGGTCTCTCCGAGGGGAGGACAGAGGCGGCATAAGGATGGTTGGACTCCATGGTCTGAAAGGTCCCTCCCAACCTCCACCATTCCATTTGAAGGTTCAGGTCAAATCTAATAATATTTTTTTTTTATTCCTACCCCATTGACATAAAGCTGGTTCCGTTGTGCCATTTAGTTGATTTCTTGGTGATACTTCAATTCAGACAAGAAGCCTGGAGTCCCCAAAGCCCAGGTTATGTTAATTTCTTATACTCTTTCTATCCATCTTAAAGTAAATTTAACATAAATACTTCCTGGCTTCTCTAGGCAGGCACAGAAATCTTCAGATGTTCTACAGAGAATGTTCATATCCAGTTTGATAGGTCAGTCTTGAGCAGCAACTGAAAAAATTCCAAACTGATGCTTTATACATATATATATATATAAAAATAATTACAAGTTATTCTCAGCCCCCTAAAGTTCATTTACCAGATTGCCTGAGCGTGGAGCATGGAGAGAGCAGCTCTGCTCTTCCATGGATGCTCTCTCAGTTGCTTGAAGGTGTTGGAGGAGTTGAGGTTCCACCAGTGAGCGTGGTGTGGGAATTATCCAAGGAATCCCCGCTAGAATTCGCGTTGACACAGAAACTCCTACAGCGCAAAGGAGACTGTGATTTGGCAGCGTTGGGTGGTTTTGGTGACCTACATTTTGATGCACTCAAACGCAAGGTCTTAGAGAACCTAAAAAGTGCTTTTCAGCCGGCAAAGCTCCCGCAGCTTCCTGAGAGTCTGCAAGTTGAGGATTTGCTGAAGCCCAGAAAACCTGATTTTAAGCTTCACCCCATCTTTGAGCAAGGAATGGCTCGTGTGTCTGATGATGGGAATCATAGAATGGTGGAGGTTGGGACCTTTCAGACCATGGAGTCCAACCATGAACCCACCACTGACAAACCCACCACTGACCCATGTCCCTCAGCACCACCTCTGCCTGGCCTTGAAATCCCTCCAGGGATGGTGACTCCACCACTGCCCTGGTGGAGTCACTTCTTCCAAGGCTTGACAACCCTTTTGGTGAGGACATTTTTCCTGATCTCCATCCTAAACCTCCCCTGGGGCAACTTGAGGCCGTTTCCTCTTGTCCCATGGCCTGTTCCTTGGGAGAAGAGACTGACCTCCAGATCTCTGCAACCTCCGGTTGTGTACCCTGGTGGGGAACTTTGGAGCATTTACCATTTCTTGTAAGATCCGTATCCTCACAGGGGTGCAGCCTGTGCTATTCCAGAGCTGTCAGATGGTGTCAGAGAGGGGAAGATAGATTTCAGAAACACTCCCCCATCCTTTGATGGATGTTCTTGGGGTTGTAGGGTCTCTCCGAGGGGAGGACAGAGGCGGCGTAAGATTTTGATTTCTGTGCCAAGAGAGGGAGTAGCAGGAGGGATGGATTATTGCTGCCCATATCTGTATGTGCTGTGTGGGATGCTGTGATTTCTTAGGCTGATGTATCAATAAAGGATTCAGAAGGGATTTTATAGGAAAAGAAGCAGCAGAACCATTTGGTTTGTGGAAACACGCTGCTCTTTCAATGCCAGGTTGGAGGGGGCTTGGGCAACCTGGTCTGGTGGGAGGTGTCCCTGGATGGAACTGGATGGGCTTCAAGGTCCCTTTTCTCCCAAACCATTCCCCGATTCTATGAACCAGGGAGATGCTGTGGTTTTAGTCAGGGTGAGTAAAGACCAGAGATGCTGCATCTCAAGATTTATTAGGACTTTTCCATAGAAATTAGTAAGTGACCACCTGGAGATGTAGTAGTGAAGAAGACAGGTCAAAGATACTCTTTTTAATGCTCATCTCTCTACAAGGTGAAGCAAAGAATAATCCCCCTTTTTATTCTTCTCCTAGTTCTTGAGGGAGGACTTGAATTATCATGACCCAACAGTCAAGCACAGCACTTTCCATGGAGAAGACAAGCTCATTAGCGTGGAGGATCTCTGGAAGGCCTGGAAGACATCTGAAGGTAAAAAAAAAAAAGGAAAAACAAAAAAGAAACATAAAACAGCCCCCTCCTTCTTCCTTGTCAAAAAAGTGATAGAAATGGTGGATTTCATATAAACCTGGGAGCAGAGTGTGCACCTCCCACCCCACGATGAACCTGCTGTTTCTGCTGCCTTGCACCAATACTCCTCCTGCTTCCTTTGTTTTTTTGGAAGGTCTTTCAGGATTTCCTTGGTCTTGGTACTTCCCAGCTGTTAACGCTGAGTGTGGTCATAAAAGTATAAATTCTTGTTTCATTTCTCTGCCTCTATAAATGTGTGCTAAAATAGAGGCAAATACAGGCCTGTTCCAGGTTCTCCTTCAACTGCCCAGTTTAAGCTGGGATTTTTACTGGGCAATTGCATCCTAAAATACTCAGTAGAGCTGCACGGGAGCTTTCCTACAGATCGTGTTTTCCTTAGAAGAAAACTTGATGAACCCCAAAAGCTCCTTAATCTAGCGAAAAGAAGGTAGAATTAAGTCCTAAAACTAGAAGTATACGTATTTCAATGCAGAAATCACCTGGAAGCAGTCAAGAAATGGTGGTTACTCATCCCAGCAAGTTTACCCAGGGAGGTGGTGGAGGTTCAGTCACGGGTGGGAAACTTCTGGATCTTGGAAGAAACGTTGGGGAAGGGTGTTCCAGGCATGGGCAGGGTGTCCCAGATGGTCAGGGAAAGACATAATTTCACTTCTACTTCTTTCCCAACCAGGATTTTGGAATTTCTATTTTGAGAGATCTTAAAACTGATTTTTCTTTCTTCTTTCTAGTTCGGAAACTTCTTGTTCATAAATTTTGGGTTTCATTACAGAATGGTATTTTATCCTAAGACCAGTACTACTGATAAGAAAAATCTTCAGTGCCTTGAAAGTAAAAATGGGGAGAGGGTATAGAAGCAGGAAGATTATACTTCTGCAAATCACTAATACAGTGTTGAGTGCAGGATGCATTTTGATGTACTTCTTGCATTGCAAGGGGTGTGTTGATGCACATCGGTGCATCAGGTCTTTCTGCCACCCATGGCATGGACCGTTTCTGCCCTTTACTCCTGCTCTTGTGCTTCTCCTTTTCTCTCCATACACAAGTCATCATGTTGCTCTCAAGACCCAGAACACCTTTTTTTCCCAATACTTTTAATTACTCCTTTTCCCTTCACTTACAGGCTTTTTCCTTCCCTCTGCCCTCCAAGACCAGGTTATCGCATCAACCCTTGAAAAATGGGATTTCAATCTTCTGCTCAATTCATCAATTATAAAGTTCTCCATTTCTCATTCACAGAATCACAGAATCCCATGGGGTTGGAAGGGACCTCTGGAGATCATCCAGTCCAACCCCCTGCCAAAGCAGGTCCACCCAGAGCAGGTCCCACAGGAACATGTTCAGGCAGAGTTTGAATGTCTCCAGAGAAGGAGGCTCGGCCACCCTCAAAGTAAAGTAAACACTTCCATAGAAATTAGTAAGTGACCACCTGGGGATGTAGTAGTGAAGGAGACAGGTCAAAGATACTCTTTTTAATGCTCATCTCTCTACAAGGTGAAGCAAAGAATAATCCCCCTTTTTATTCTTCTCCTAGTTCTTGAGGGAGGACTTGAATTATCATGACCCAACAGTCAAGCACAGCACTTTCCATGGAGAAGACAAGCTCATTAGTGTGGAGGATCTCTGGAAGGCCTGGAAGACATCAGAAGGTAAAAAAAAAAAAAAAAGGAAAAACAAAAAAGAAACATAAAACAGCCCCCTCCTTCTTCCTTGTCAAAAAAGTGATAGAAATGGTGGATTTCATATAAACCTGGGAGCAGAGTGTGCACCTCCCACCCCACGCCAGGTTATCGCATCAACCCTTGAAAAATGGGATTTCAATCTTCTGCTCAATTCATCAATTATAAAGTTCTCCATTTCTCATTCACAGAATCACAGAATCCCATGGGGTTGGAAGGGACCTCTGGAGATCATCCAGTCCAACCCCCTGCCAAAGCAGGTCCACCCAGAGCAGGTCCCACAGGAACATGTTCAGGCAGAGTTTGAATGTCTCCAGAGAAGGAGGCTCGGCCACCCTCAAAGTAAAGTAAACACCCTCCCCATGTTTAGGTGGAACTTCTTATGTTCCAGTTTGTGTCCATTTCCTCTTGTCCTGTTGTCCTGTCACTGGGCACCACTGAAAAAAGACTGGCCCCATCCTCCTGACACCCACCCTTTAAGTATTTATTGATCAGATACCCCGTCAGTCTGCTCTTCTTTGGACTAAAAAGACCCAGGTCCCTCAGCTTTTCCTCAGCAGAGATAAACCTGGGAGCAGAGTGTGCACCTCCCACCCCACGATGAACCTGCTGTTTCTGCTGCCTTGCACCAATACTCCTCCTGCTTCCTTTGTTTTTTTGGAAGGTCTTTCAGGATTTCCTTGGTCTTGGTACTTCCCAGCTGTTAACGCTGAGTGTGGTCATAAAAGTATAAATTCTTGTTTCATTTCTCTGCCTCTATAAATGTGTGCTAAAATAGAGGCAAATACAGGCCTGTTCCAGGTTCTCCTTCAACTGCCCAGTTTAAGCTGGGATTTTTACTGGGCAATTGCATCCTAAAATACTCAGTAGAGCTGCACGGGAGATTTCCTACAGATCGTGTTTTCCTTAGAAGAAAACTTGATGAACCCCAAAAGCTCCTTAATCTAGCGAAAAGAAGGTAGAATTAAGTCCTAAAACTAGAAGTATACGTATTTCAATTCCTCAGAGCTGCTGTTTGTGTCCTGTTCCATTTGTATTTGATTTTTCCCTCTCAGTCTGTACATTGTGTAGGGGTAGGACACACTCAGTGTTTCCAAAGTGCCGTGTAAATATAATTTTAAGGAGTGTTTTAGTCCCTCCCCACCCCAGAAGCTGCTGGTCACGCTCTTCCTGATGCCTTCCAGGAGTCCCTTGGCCTTCTTGGCCACCAGGACCCATTGCTGGCTCATGGGCACCCTGTTGCCCACCAGAACTCCCAGGTCTTTCTCCTCAGAGCTGCTGTTTGTGTCCTGTTCCATTTGTATTTGATTTTTCCCTCTCAGTCTGTACATTGTGTAGGGGTAGGACACGCTCAGTGGTTTCAAAGTGCCGTGTAAATATAATTTTAAGTAGTGTTTTAGTCCCTCCTCACCCCAGAAAGGCTGAATAAATACTTAGGTACAGCATTTGAAAGGCGGTTTGGAAACACAGTGGTTCTGGAGTTGTTTATCCAGGACCAGGCTCTCCATCCCGTGGAGTTGGGCATTAAAAATTCCTGCCCAAAGCACTTAGGGGTTGGGATGACGCTAACGAGTCGCTCTGTCTCCTGTGTTCAAGGGAAGCCGCCTGTCACAAGTGTTTATTCTGTTGTACGGCTGTTTACAGAGGGCTTTGCCTGAAATTATGTTTTAATGTCAGCTGGGAAAGGGTAGAAATCATTAAGGGATAGAGGGAGAACATCCCATGATACTCCCCAGGTCCCTTAATTGCTCTCTGCTACTTCCGACACGCGCGGGACCTGCCATGTCTGGGCAGAGCTCGTCGCTCTGCGTTTCTGGCTGATAAAAGACATTATTAGTTTCTAAAGGATTGTCCGAGGTGGAGCCTGATCCTGGCGTTTGAACCCGAGTCCTAAAACCAGTCGAATGAGGTTTGTAGGACAGGTCCATGCCTTCAAAAAGCACCTTTGAGAGGGCACCGGGGGTCTGATGGGGACCCATTTCTGACACCCATTGTCAAGCAAGGGCTTTTCTGACCTGTTTGTCGTTCCTGGTCATGTGTGGAAGCTACAAAGCTGTTTCTGCCCCCTAATTATCTAAAAATATTTTTATGGTTTGAGGAAACCCATAATGTCGTTTCAAGATTTCTTCTATCATCACCCAATGACCCCTCCCCACCCGGGAAGGGGATTCGGGGAGCACAAAGAAACAAGGGGGTTGAAATATAAATAGATTTAATAGGTTAGGGCTAAATAATTAACAATGATACTAAAAATCAGTATTGATCCCCATAAAGTAAATCTTTTCCCAAATTCAGACACTGGAGTATTCTAAAAGTGCATTTTTTTCCAGCGTTAGAAGGAAAGTTAGTCCTGTGTCGCCCAACCCAGGACAAGTAGAAAGGTTGTGATGCTCTTAGAAGGTGTTGGGATTTGATGAAGCCCTCGTGGCTGTGGCTCCACCAAAGCCCCTGAAGCAGCAGATCTGACCGTCGCGGCAAAGGATGTCACCGCTGCCCATCTCCTCGCTGGAGTGGGCTGCAGTGATTTCTTCCCACCATAAAGAGCTCAGGATATGGAAGGTCAACAAGAGAGGGAAGATGAGGACTTCAGGGCTGGGCTGTGCAGGGCCGAGAGCTGGCTGTTGGCACGGGAACATGGAGGAAACTCATGGGACAAGCCCTGTGGGCAGTTTCCTTAAGTGAGGGCTTTGCGTTGGCCAACGTGCACCCATGAGTCACCTCCGTGGAGATGAGAGACTTTCTCTTCTCATCTCACTCTCCTTTGCTCAGCGCTTGGCTCTCGTCCCATCCGCTCTGTCATCATTCCGCCGGAGGCGTTCAACTCGCCGGAGCGAGCTGGAGGATGTTTCTCATATTTGTGAGACAACTCATTGTTGACATTTCAGAAGCTGAGGCCATGGCTCCGAGCTCGGCAGCGACTTGGAGCCAGCACTAAACGGGCTTTTTTCTCCCCTCGGCTGTTGGAGAGGGCACGGGGCAGATGGATGGATGCGGGACCCGGAGATGGATGGGTGTTTGGCCAAGGAGGTGGATGGGTATTGGGCCAGGGAGATGGATGGGTGTTGGACCAGGGAGATTGATGGGTGTTGGGCCAAGGAGATGGGTGGATGTTTGACCGCCTTCCCTCTGCCCTCCAAGACCAGGTTATCTCATCAACCCCCCCTCACTTGAAAAATGGGATTTCAATCTTCTGCTCAATTCATCAATTATAAAGTTCTCCATTTCTCATTCACAGAATCACAAAATGATCTGGGGTTGGAAGGGACCTCTGGAGATCATCCAGTCCAACCCCCTGCCAGAGCAGGTCCACCCAGAGCAGGTCCCACAGGAACATGTTCAGGCAGGGTTTGAATGTCTCCAGAGAAGGAGGCTCTGCCACCCTCAAAGGGAAGAAGTTCCTCCTCATGTTTAGGTGGAACTTCTTATGTTCAAGTTTGTGTCCATTTCTTCTTGTCCTGTCCCTGGGCACCACTGAAAAAAGTGATGGCCCCATCCTCCTGACACCCACCCTTTAAGGATTTATAGGTGTTGATCAGATCCCCCCTCAGCCTTCTCTTCTCCAGACTAAAAAGCCCCAAGTCCCTCAGCCTTTCCTCATAAGAGAGATTCTCCAGGCCCCTCATCATCTCTGTAGCCCTCTGCTGTCCCCTCTCCAGCAGTTCCCTGTCCTTCTTGAACTGGGGAGCCCAGAACT